GACTCGACGCAGCTCGAGTTCCTGAAGGGGAACGTCTCTAGGTTACGTATGTAACCATGGTTCCCCGAGGGAACGAGACGCTGCGTCTCTTTGCCATACTCCCTGCATCCCTGCAGGCGCTACTTCATCGAAGCTGGTTTGCGCTCTACTGGATGCGCTTTTATACTTTCTGGTGCTTGTGGCACCCCGCTCGTGACGTCTCGCTGCTCCGTTGGACTGATTTGACACGTGCTTCAGAACGCGGTCAGGCAAGGGCGTTCCCAAAGCGATTCGATGCAGCGTCTCGTTCCCTCGGGGAACCATGGTTACATACGTAACCTAGAGACATTTCCCCTTTGGATAGCTATAACAGGGTCATTTAGAAAATGGGCATGTCCAAACATAAACAAAAACCTATAAATCCTAAACAAAAACTCAACATTTCACGAAACTAGATGAGCACATGTGACAGATGATTCTAAACAAGCATGCAAAGTTTTATGGAGATCAGACCATAGGTGGTGCTATAACAGTCATAAATGCTAATATACAAAACAATGTATATGGTAAAATTACCTGCAGTTGCCAAAAATGCTCTTTTTAATCATTGATTTAACTGGTTACAGGCTTGTTAAATAATACAATGTTTTTTTGTTTTTTAATTAATAAAAAAAATGTTTTTTTTCTGAAATTCTAGAAAAAAAGATATTACAGAATAAAGTGACAAATTGAAAGAGAGAACCTAGAGGTAAATGTTATTGTTCAGATATTGCACTTTCATATCTAATAAATTTTAAAGGCGTTTTCAGCTATGTTTCATGCAAGTAATAACTTAATCTCAGATGTTGCTCTACAAATCCCTTGGAGGGATATAGAATAATTTATTATTAAATTAATCTGGATAACATAACTCAGATAATTCATTCTTTGAAGAATTTCATGATAAATATTTCAGTCTATACTGAGATTTCTGAATTCTATCACAGACTCTGGCATCTGAGCACAGACACCTCTTTTTGAGAGATCACTTCTGAAAGTCAGAGACAAGTGAGATGTCTGGGTTATTTTCTTTTTCTAAGTAGAAAAATTGAGAAACAGGGGACTTATAGCAAATTGCAATCAAGTTCATGCAAACCCCAAACCATCATTCCTTCAGTATGGGTAAGTGTGTCTGTATACATTAGGTGGTTATAATGACTGATTGATTCAGCAGGAAGGTGCAATACAGTTGTAATTAACAGGTGACAAGTTTTTTTTCTTTCTTTCTTCAATTCATTTTCAAACATGGCATAAAGCACTTGGTATTTTCAGAATCATTTGAATTATTTCATGCATCTAAACTATATTCAGATATTTAAGTAGAATGATAAAATGCAGATTTTTTTATGTGTTATGTTTTACTGTATGTACTGTATATTATTAAACAACTCGGAATACTTGATCCTGATTGGTCAATCGTGGCATTCAGTAGTCAGATATTTCCTGATATTGTCCTTGGCAATGCTATATATCAGACCGCTCATCTGGCTCAAGTGCACATTAGACTTTAGATATTCTATTAACTCGGAACTTTGCGACAACATGTCAACGCCATGCAGATATTAAGCAGACAGCCTACTAATACTTTAATGACTGGTAACTGACATGTAGCTCCAAAGTTAATAGAATGTATAGAATATTAAATCTAGTTTATGGATTATGAAGTAGATTTAAAGGAGGTAGAGCTTTTTCGCATTTGGCTCCTAAACTCTGGAACAGCCTTCCTGATAACATTCGGGGTTCAGACACACTCTCTCTGTTTAAATCTAGATTAAATATACATATTTTTTTGCCAAGCATTCACAGAATGTATCTCATAATCTTGTACTTCAGTTATATCTGATCTAATGCACATTATCAATCTTTGCTTTGTTTGAACAGCAGCTAAGATTATTTTTCTCTATTTGCTTCTCTGTTTCTGTCATGGGATGGGCATTCCTTACAAAGATCTGAGATGACTGAACAACTAAGAAGAGATGACACCAACCCTTCAGAGGACCTCAGATGACAGCAACCCTGAACCAACATACAAAACTATCACATTTTGCTATAAGTTTGATTGCAACATATAATCATTGCTGTTAATAGTGTTCACCATTTGTTTGAATACATATAATTAACTAACTGCATGAGTTTTACTGTACATTTCTGCCATATGGACATCACCTTGACATTTACCTCCTAAATATAAAGTAGAAACTTACATTTTATATCTTGTAACTAGAAGTTATTTCCCTGAGTAGGGGCACACAAAGTGAATCACACAGGGCAAGTGTTCACAGGTTTGAGTGCCATTCTCATTTCATTGTACTGACCACCCATGTGGACACTTGAGGAAAAAAATTGAGTTCCTTGTAATTTTCCTCTACTTCACCGCTAACGTCTTATGATCAAAGCCTCAAACAAATGGCATTTCTGAATCGGTGTTCCATATACTAGTATTCCATTCTAAAGTTCAGACCTATGCAGCTGCTCTGAATGGATGAGTTCTAACAACTCTTACTCTCTCATTGCCACTATTTCATGGATGTGAAGTAAAATCAAGGTTTGTAAAGCAGTCATCTGAACCAGTTCTTCATGTTGCACCTGTGTGGAACCCTTACAGGTCAATCTATAATGCTTCAAGAGAACACTGCATGCTGATTCAGAATGAACATGTTGGCCTAAAACAGGTAAATGTCATGAAAAATGTATTTCCACCATTTATTCAATGATTAATATAACACTAAAAATATTATTCTCATTTATAGTCTGAAAATAAAGTATTATTTTGATTGTAAAGCATCTATACATAGTATTTATTGTACTGCCTTTAATTTGCTCTGCATTTAATATACAATTCTAATCTAATTAAAATGTATTTAATAAAAAATAAGTAAATAAAATAAATCACTGTACCACAGTTATTAAATTATTCAGTGAACAACACCATAAATTAATTCTGGGTAATGTTAATTATACACATACTAATACATACTGTATAAAGTAGCATTTGTTAATTATCAGTGAACAAGGCATAATCAATCTAGATTAAAAGTTAAGATTAATAATGTTTTTTTTATATTGTTTACTATTTTTTATTGTTCATTTTTAGTATTTATTGTAAACTTATTTTAGTGTTACCGTTTACTGTAATATGTCCAAATTGATAAACCAGCCCAAACTGAAAATTAATATTAATGATAGCAACAACAACGGTAATAAATAACTAAACAAACACAAACTAAATAACTATGCACATGAGCAGCAAAGCAATGCTACTACAAAAACCAACAGCTCAGAGACTCCAACGATTAATCACTGTTAGTGTGAACACAGCTTTAACCAAACCACTAATTATCACATGGAATCACACCACAACAAAAACTCAATATTAACTGTTCATCAGAATGTAACCTGTAACTTATATATATATATATATATATTTTTTTTTTTATATTTATCTATTTATTTTTTTCTCCCAAAAGCAGGATTTCCTCTGTCTTGCAGTCAGTCACTCACCATAGTCACTGTCATAGAAGACGATGAACTTCTGCCAATGCAGTTCACCAACTAACGTCAACATGACATCACTTAGACGGACAGGCGGTCTTGCTGCGAGGGTGTATCGCTCTCCATCGGGGCTTGGATTGAGTTGGCATGCGGTGCGAGGTGATCCTTCAGCGTTTCGCTGGATGTAAAGGTGTGGTATGTGCATTGCATCTGTCAGGGACTGCAGAGCACTGGCCGAGGCACAGCCTGTAGATGTGACCAAGGCTAGGATCCCCTGTGTCATCAGTTCACATGCTGCAAAATGATAGAAAAGAGGAAGAACTGATGAGCTTGGGTAGTTTAGCAAGAGCCAAAGAATTGTCTTAGCAGAAACAATGACATCAAAACACTCTGTAGAACTGGGAAGTATAATAGTAGAAATGTGTAAGGTGGTGAAGATTCTGTACTAGCACAAAATCATGGTCAAGCAACGCAACTTGCTTCAATAATATACAGCATATTTTCACATATTTTCATTTAGCTCCAAATAAAAATAGAAAATATACAAATGAGATGAAGTACCTTTAATGTGTAAACTGGTGTTTAATTTAACCACATGGTTATTTAGCATGCAGTAATTCATATTATCTTTGAATTTACAACAAAGATAACTATGTTGTGATCAGTACTCGAAAATATTCATATCATCACGCTTTTGGTCATAAAAGCCAACCATAGGCAGAATTCTCTTTGTGCTGATTATCAAAAAGCCCATTTTCTAATTTTGCAATAATATTCAAGCCACTTAATTCAACCAGTAATTAATTTTTTTGATTAAAATCTAGAACAGTACATCATAAAATAGTGGGGGGTTCTGAGCATGAAAGGACACTACTTCAACATGGTTTTGATGCCTAATCGTTGACACATTATAAAGGGACAGACTCATTGTCTGCCTTTGTATTAATCAAGGCCAACTGCATTTTAATTTGACCTCATCTTAATTGAAATACTAGTTTTCTGTAAAGTGAGATCAGTCACAAAAAATAAACCTTTTTATTGACAATAGATAAAAATAATAATAATAATAAAAAACGTCCCAGGTTACGTATGTAACCATGGTTCCCCGAGGGAACGAGACGCTGTGTCGGAAAACGCTAGGGGAACGCCTTCAGCGATACCAAGCTCTGAATCATATGTGTAATCAGTCGAACGATGGGCGAGACGTCCGCGGCGGGTGACGTCATGACCAGGAAGCTTTAAAAGCACGTGAGGTGCCACCGGCGCTAGCTTCTTAGGAGTGAAGCAAGCTCTAGTAGGGATGCCGGAAGTATGGCCTTGCGACGCAGCGTCTCGTTCCCTCAGGGAACCATGGTTACATACGTAACCTGGGACGTTCCCCTTCGGGAACTCGAGCTGCGTCGGAAAACGCTAGGGGAACGAGATGTCCACGCCGCCAGACTTGCAAATCCCTGCCTGGTGTGAAAGGGCACGGCTATGGCAAGAGAACTACCCGGGGCATCACTCTGTAACCGCATTCACTCAACCCCGCCACATTACCATAATAATCAGAGGCAGGGCCGAATAAGCGGGCCGAGAATGGTTTTCTTCCTCGGTGTGGAGATTGGGAAAAAACGTCAGGCTCCGGCGCGGAGGTAGCGACCCGGCCCGCAGGGCCATTCGATGTTCAATTTGGCAACCGCACGAGTAACTACCTCCATTAGCTCCTCATATTGTGGGGATTGAGGGGGCGAATCTTCGACGCTCTCCACATCAACCTCCTCGGAGGAAGATAGGAGAAGCGCCGAGCCCGCTCTCCGGGGGGAAGTAACCGCAGAACGGGCTTCCGATCCCAGCG